GAGTGTCCCTTCCTCCTCCGTTGTGGCTGTTGATTAAAACCACGCTTCCCAAAGCTTCAGTCTGGCTCTTGGCTGCAGGCACCTGCCTTCCCAGAGAGGAGCTGCTGTGCAGACAGGTCGCTGGTCCTCCAGTGCCTGCTTCAGACCACCCTGTTTCCCAGCTCTGGCGGTTTTCAGGTAGCAGCCAGGAATCCCAGCACGCTTTTTCTGGCTCCAGGGGACCGCTTCTCTCGGAGCTCCTGCCCCACTAGGGATTCTGCAGAGGTGTTTGTCGGTGAGGTGATGTGGAGGGACAAATTACTCTGTGATTTCTCTGCCCTGTGGAGGAAGTACAGGCCATATTCTTCATCTCCAGCCTCGGGGAGGGAGGGTGTTTACTTGCTGAGAATTTCCATATGTAGAAATGAGCTCTAGAAATAATTTGAGTCGACTCACCGCTCAGCCTGATCCCCCCAGCTGCGGGGCAGGGAGCAGCACGTGAAATCCTCAGGGCATCCCCGGCTTCTCTTCCAGTGTGGGGTAAAGAAGCAGGGCAGACCAGGAGTGGGAGGCAGGAGAGAGGCATGTGGGAGGAGAGGTGACTTGCTGCAGCAGCCCATTAGCTTCCTGCTAGAAACAGTGGGCCAAATCTCTTTTCACCGAGCCTTTGCCAGGACTTATTCAGGTGAGGAAGGCGAGAAGACTTTTTTTTTTCCAGCTGGCTGTGATGGTTTATAGAAGGAGGAAGGACATATGTTGGCCAGCATAGGATGGGAGAAGGGGCCACGGTGGGGCTTCACCTGTCCCAAAAGCAAAGTAGGACACGTAAGATCATGTGAACGTACCAGGGGAATTTGTCTTGCCGTAATCCTACAAGTTCCTGCAGGTTTGTCTTCCTGCTGCCTCCTTGGCTGTTTCTGATCTTATCCCTGCCGTGGCAGAGAGGTCCTGCCCTGCAAGCATACACGTCACTTGGCTGATCTGCCTCCAGCACCTTGAGGCTTTTGTGTCTGCACCGTGAAGCCAACAACCTGACAGATTTCCCTCCTTCCACAGTGACTTCGTAGTTCCTGTGTGCCTGGGCTCTGGGGGGCAGGGCCGGTTGTCTGTGTGTCGCTTTTCCCCAGAAACCTGCTCACCGGTAGGAAGAGAATGTAAATCGTTAAAAAGTGATACCTGTAAAATTTGTTTTTCAGGAAAGAACTGGTCCGTGTGGAGGCGACTGTGATTGAAAAGACAGAGTCATGGCCAAAAATTAACATGCGCTTCAGGAAGAAGCGCAACTACCAAAGGAAGAGAAGTAAGATCCCCAGAACACAGAGCTTCCTTCCCTGCTGCTCTGTGGCTGGGTGTGGGAGGGGAAGGCGTCGTGACACAGGGGCAGCGCCCGGGGAGGGAGACTCGGTCCCTGTATCCCCAGGACCCCTCGTGGCACAGCACCTCTGTCCCAGCCCGCCGTGTCCAGGGGACTTCATATTCCCTTGGCCCGGCACCCTTTGTTAGACAAAACAGGCAAAAGGACTGGAGAAAGATATCCTGGGCAGAAAAGCAATCCTTTTGTCTTTCCAGAGCCTTAGGTATTGGATGTGTAATGACAGACACTGGCAAGTCCTGACAGTATCCCGGGGCAGGCTTTCCGGTTACCCAGCGATGCCGCTTCTCAGGCGCGACCGAGAGAGAAATTATGACCGTTTCTTTTATGGACTGGATGCTAAAACCTTGACCAGCCTGACACACGGTCCTGCCGTGTGCTGGCACGCAGCTGCCCCGCCGAGGTGGCGGCACCTGCCAGCACAGCCGCTCCGAGAGGCGGGGCAGCACCG